ATCTTTCTTCTATCATTGACAGTCCCTCTAGGTTGTGGGCTGCTTGCCTGTGTTCCTGAGAAGCATCTACGGTACCAGTCTATAGAGTGTGTTTTCTTTAGTGAATTACCGGTATGTTTACCGGTAATAAACTTGCACTGTTTTATGTATATGTTTGATTACATACAGCCTTGTGACAGTTTTCCTGCATGTCATAAGCATTTGAATATAAATTAAAATGTTAAAATCAAATCTGATATTGTTTTACCTTTTCTTTGGTGTGTGGAAGGTGTGCGGAAGAGGGGGTAGTCTTATACGGTGAGTATATAACAAACTCTGTATTTTGAGTGGAAATGTTAGGGGGTCGTCTTATACGCCCAGTCGTCTTATACGCCGGCAAATACGGTACCTTTTTCTTCTGCAATTTATTTGGTATTTGTAATGTACTGGAAACCTTTAACGGCTAACTAAAGTTGTAAAGTAATAGTGTTGAAAATGCTGCAGAGAATCAACAGAAAAGTATCATGGTGAATATTAAAATTCAAATTTTAAGGGGTTTAAAGCTCCTAAAAAAGTGTTCAAAGTGATAGAGATCAACAGTTAATTTGGAATTACTTTAGAGTTCAAAAGATAATAGGAGGACACTGTGAGATATCTTATGCCAATAAATGTGGAAATTCAGATGAAAGAATGACTTTTGAAAACATAGGACATACCAAACTAACTCAAAGTCTAAAAATCACCCACTCGAATTAGTAATTAGAAGCAGTTGGTGACTTTGGCAAGAATGGTTTCAATGCAGCACTGGATGGCTGGAGAATACAGTAGATACACAGAAACAATAGGCAGGGCTTGGGCTTGCTTACGGCAAAGATAACCTTTTACTGAGGAGGTTATAGGCCTGAGGTGTGACTACTCAACATGACCTACCCAGTTAGGAGTCAATGATCAGATCATCCTGTGAAGTTACGTTCCATAGAGGCCCTTTTCATCATAAATGAATCCGAAGAATGCATCGATGACCATCCTTTTGGTTGCATGGTGTGGTCTCACAGCACCAGGAAGTCTCATTCCTAGCAAGTCTCAGTACCAACATTCTCTTATTGACCTTTGAGGATGGGGCAATATTGTAACCATGGAATGTGAGTTGAGGCCAAATTTTCCCAGAAAGGAAAAGGCAGGTAGATGAAGGCAGTCAGGTCAAATGACTCTACATCATTTCTGTCCTATGAATGGTCATGATCTGAGTTTTGCTGTCTTATTTTTCTGTGTTTTGCATAAGCCATAAAAAGAGTATTAACAGTTATCTTATACATGTTCAGTAATCCTAAGTAGTTAAACTATATAGAAAAATCCAAAGAACAAGTACAACTATTATTATGACTAATATCATTAGCAGACAGATAAAGACAATTGAACAAAATGGTTTCTGAGTTCAACATCAATCTGTAGGTATACAGGCCTTGTTAGTATCTTGAGATACCTGTCTACCACTCATGTCAACAACTTCTGATCCTAGAAGAATTTTTTATGTTCCTTGTAGGTGAAGGCAAGTTATCCTTTCTTGGTTAGATGTCTGATAAGGTCCCTAACAATGAGGTTGGAGAGTGTCTTTATTTGTTGTCTTTTCCAAGTTTATCCAATTTGAAGCGGGGAGCCAATGTGACACAATGGGCCCATGCTGGTACCTAGACCCAGGTCCAAGCCACAAGGTGGTCTTGGGTAGTCTTCTTCAAAATCCTGCCAGCAATGCCAATAAATGTCAATGTAAGAAACATCCATATTTGTAGAGAATTTTTATGAATTTATTCGAGCCAAACTGATGACATAGCTGGGAAGCAAGATCTCAAATATTCCCGGATACTTGCCTTTATTATTTATTCCAAAAGGTTGTGCAGAATAGATAACCATCACCCATTTCAAACCTTTTCAGTGACAAACATTATCTACTAAAAACTCATAGGGTCAGGCATGCCTAAAGTGTGTTTGCAACAAAATATTATTTTTTAAGAATAAGCATTGTGAATTGAAAAGTACAAGATATGTAAGTGAAGGGTAATATTTGGGACAAGAATTCTAAAAAATGTTAAAATAAAAACTAGACTTCCTCTGAGTATACAGGTGATTATGTATTTACTGCTCTGATTGTATTACTTTAGGCAAGAGAGAATGGCTAGAGAAAATGAACCTATTGAGAACTTGTCCAAAACATATCCTGGAAATTAGTCATAAGTCTTTATAATTCCTACATATCCTCTCATCCCTATCTAGAACAAAATTATAAAGAAGAAAATAGTGCCATCACCATGCTGATGTAGCTGTAATCCACAGAGCCCCAGGGATCTAAGCAAAGGGTGAAAACTCCCAACTGTTCAACACTCTAATGAGTGTTGTCAACTGACTTAAGCACATTTGATTATAGAAATTAGATTCTTTTTGGTAACCTCCAGTATTTAGAAGAAGTTGAGGGCTAGAACTCTCCTCCTTCCACAAAATCACTTTGAACAATGAAGTCAAGGGTCAGACAGCATTCTGCTTCACAAACAAACACTTATCAGCAATGGCTATACCACCTGTCCTTGTTAGCTTGATGAAGTTCAAATTCTGTTTTATCACATGCCCAACTCATACGTTTATGAAAGGCTCACTTTAGATAAATATAATAAGTTCTAACATAATTCAGCTAACTTCTTAGAATCAGTAAATGACAATTCTCAGGGAAATCTGCTGAACAAAGAAATATGCTGGGATTCTGAACCTAGGGGGCCATTACAAAGGTGTGGGCTACTTGGGCTCACCTAGGTACTTAGATCTGGTTCTGGCTGGTACAAAAATCACCAGAAAGTCTGAACATCTGAACATCTTGACCACCATATTTTCCACCAAAGAAAAATTCATTTCTAGAAGCTAGTTAGGCTAAGTAACCAGGCCTATTTTGTTGACCTAAAAAACAAAAACAAAAAAAACCTGGCCAATGTGTTCAGTGGTTGAGCATAGACCTATAAACCAGAGGTCACAGTTAGATTCCCAGTCAGGGCACATGCCCAAGTTGCGGGCTCGAGCCCCAATAAGGGGTATGCAGGAGGCAGCCAATCAATGAGTCCCTCTCATCACTGATGTTTCTGTCTCTCTCTCACTCTCCCTTCTTCTCTGAAATCAATAAAATAAAATTTTAAAAAATAGCAGAAGCACTTGTAGTAGGTTTTTAAAAAAGGTTACTATAAATCCAAAGACTGTATTCTCAATTAAGGTTGGATATAGATTTAAAAAAACTTCCCTTCCAACCTCTAGTTGGGTTAACTAGTCCTAGACTAGTCTTCCTACCACAAACAACTGGATGTTTGTATGTATTGATTGTTTTCCGATGTTGAACAACAAGCAATTGTCGTGATTCCTGGAGAAAGGAAACGTACAAGGTGAGCCTGGTGATCACTCAGCTTTCTGCCTGTAGGCACTTTTCAGACTATGGGACAAACCCAAGCACAGCACAGCCATCTCACTGAGCTGAGGGTCAGAAAGAAGGGAGCTGCACAGAGAAATCTAAACGGTGCTCTCTTGAATGTCTGCACACTAATCTGCTCATTCCTTAGATGCAACTTCATGAGGTGAGACAAAGAACTACTGAGAAAAGAAAACACACCAGTGAACTGAACAGTTATTGGAATTTCTAGAAGGCTGGAAGGTGATTTCATTGCAACCAATCAGATTGGAAGTATGTCTGTACTTCTGGATATTCAGTGGAGACCCTAGAAAGGCAACACCTTAGGAATAGGGCTAATCTAATTCTAAAGTAAATGCAATCAAGATCTTCTATAGAAAATATTACAAACAATCTCAAAAAGATCAGGCTGATTTTTAAGAGTATTAACTGCCCACTAGAACAAAACTCGTTAAAGAAAAAAGTAAAATCCACCAACTCAACTATATAGCACTCATAATATCTAACATACAATAAAAGATTTACTAGACATGCAAAGAAAGAAAATTTAAGCCACAAGGAAGAGAAAAATCTATCATTAAAAAGATCCAGAAATAACAGTGATAATGAAATTAATACATAAGAGCTTTTAGACAGCTATTATAAATATGCTTAAGATTTTTAAAAATCATAATTAAGCACTAAAGACTATACCAAAATGCATTGACATTATCTATTGGAGAATATAAAGTAAATGCACTTAGAAATAACATTTGCATAGTGTAGGTAGCTGTATGAATTCCATTTAGTATAGTTATTCAACTTTCTCTTTTTCACCTCATTACCTAACAATTTATGAGGTTGTAAAGTTTCCCAAGGGCCAGAATGAACATATTTCTACATTTGTAGGCTATTCCCAGGGTTATGTGTCATAGAAAATGTCCAGAAAGAAACCACTGATCAATCTTATTAGGACTCCTTTCATCGTGGAAACAGCATTGTCTTGGGAAATGTGAGTTGGGGTATGGCGGAGGCACTGAGTAGAGTGCAGCAGCAACTCTGGATGCATGTGGGAGTCATAGCTGCAATTCGACAGTCATTGATTTCATGCATGCTATGTATACAGCATGGGACTAGGCACTGATAGCCATAGAGACATACTAGTATATAAGCATTGAGATAGAAACATAAATACCTATAATTAAAATTGGAGTAAAAGAAGTGCTTTAGTACAATGGCAATGTATAAATGAGACATAATTTCAGTAGGAGTGATGGGGTGAGACTTAGAAGAAAGGCATATGAAGGAGAGCAGTGTTCAGAATTTATTTATATATCCTATATAATAAAAGCATAATATGCTAAGTGTCCGACCAATCGGTCGATCGTTCAGTCGACCACTGGACCAGTCGATATGACACGCACTGACCAACAGGGGCAGACACTCCAGTAGGTTAGCCTGTTGGGGTCTGGCCTATCAAGACTAGGCTAGATGACCCAAATCAGCCACGATCACTGGTCAGGCCAAGGGACCTCACCCATGCACAAATTTGTGCACTGAACCTCTAGTATATATATCTTTTTTTTTTTTTTTCCAGAGAGGAAGGGAGAGGAAGAGAGAGCTAGAAACATCAATGATGAGAGAGAATCACTGATTGGCTACCTCCTTCATATTCCCCACTGGGGATCAAGTCCACAGCCCAGGCATGTGCCCTTGACCGGAATCAAACCTGGGACCCTTTAGTCTGCAGCCAACACTCTATCCACTGAGCCAAACCTGCTAGAGCCAGAATTTCTTCAACCTAGCATCTATAGAGTCTTAGGGCTTTTGTTCTATGGTCCCTTATACTCTTTCTCCACTCTTGGCTCTGGTTTAGGATTCTTTCATTCTGAGAACGCCTACGTTTTCCCTAGGAAGACATGGAAGGGTGCTTCTATGGGCCCCCTGGGCACCAGTCAGTCTCTGACTTATTTCTACTCTATGCCATCCCATACCAGGAGCAACTTCTTCATCTACATCAGAAGGCGTTCCTCACCAATGGAGCTCAAAGCTCTGGGAAGGATGCACCTGGAGCACCAAGAACAGGAGGGAGGAAGGAAGGAAACTCTGGCTGAACAGGTGCACCTGAACACTATTGACTTTGTCAATAAAGGGAAAAGCTACAAAAGCCAGAGCTTCCTCATATCACATCTTTTACCTCAGAATTTCTATCTTGCTTCAGTAAGAAACTTAATGTCCAATTTAATCAGGGTGGAGAAAGAAGTCTTGAAGATAAAGTTGTGGAGTGTCTCCTAGCACTGTAAGGACAAGAATAATGTTGGAATATGCAAAGGCATCATGTAGCAGTCAAATGAGGCTTAACTCTGAGTCTTACAGATGTGACTTTTGGGTCTTCCAGGTGTTTCCTGTTGGTGCAGAAAGATGGATCACAACGGGGTCTGAGCTAAGCAATCAGTGCAGGGGAACAAGAATGGGGTAGTGAGCTATAAAAGAACTTAGTCATTTCATGAATTCTGGAAACTCAAAAGGTAAGAGGAGTTAAATGAGTTGATTAAATGAAAATGAGGAATAGTGTGTGTAAATAGCCCACTGGGAAACACCAAGAACAATAAATGAAAATATTTAGAGATTGGGGAAAGAAGGAAGCTCCACACAGGACAAGTTGGAGGCTAAGGGTGCAGAGCTAAGGATGAGGCATGGCTGAGAATTTCTGTAGGAAGAGTCCAATAGTCATGGGTTGAGATAAATATACTAGGAAAGAGGTCTGAACCAAGAAAGATGCTCCTGAGGCCTTATCATTAAAGAACCCTGATCCCCAGAGATATAGGCAGCTAAGAGAAACCTCAGCTTCATCTAGAAGGAGAAGGAAAGAGAAAATGGAGCATAAATTAGCAGGTAAAGACATGAAGACAGGAAAGGAGTGTTCAGTATTTATTTATTAAATTAAATTTATTAGAGTGACATCGTATATAATAAAAGGGTGATATGTAAATTGACCCTAACAGGGGAACAACTGAGAACGACCAGTTGCTATGACAAGCACTGACCACCAGGAGGCAGACGCCTAATGCAGGAGCTGCCCCCTGGTGGTCAGTATGCTCCCACAGGGGGAGCTCCACTCAGCCACAAGCTGGGCTGACAGCTTCAAGCACAGTGGGGGTGGTGGGAGCCTCTCCCACCTCCCCAGCAGTGCTAAGGATGTCTGACTGTGGCTCCTGGGCTGCCAGAGGGATGTCTGACTGCCAGCTTAGGCCCAATCCCCTGGGGAGTGGGCCTAAGCTGGCAGGTGAACATCCCCAGAGGGGTCCCGGACTGCAAGAAGGCACAGGCCTGGCTAAGAGACCCCCCCAAATGCACAAATTTTCATGCACCAGGCTTCTAGTCTATATATATAAAAGCCTAAGTGACCGTTCAACTGGTAACTATGACACGCACTGACCACAAGGGGGAAGACACTCAGTGCACAGGCATGGAAACATGGAACAGATTGATGAATTTCAGAGGGAAGGGTGGAGAGGAGAAGGTGGGAAGAGATTAAGAGGGCAAAGACCTTATATGCATACTAGAGGCCCGGTGCACGGATTTGTGCACCAGGGGGTTCCTCGGCCTGGCCTGCAGGGATTGGGCCGACACTGGCAGTCTGACATCCACCGAGGGGTCCTGGATTGCAAGAGGGCATAGGCCTGTCTGAGGGACACCACTAGTGCACCGGGCCTCTAGTTAGTTAATAAGATTATATATGTTTCAAGTGTACAATTCTATGGTATATCATCTGTATATTGCATTGTGTGCCTACCACACAAAGTCAGATTTTCTCCCATCACCATGTATTTGACACCCTTTATTATTTACTAACTCCCTTCCCTCTGATAACGACCATGCTATTGTCTGTATTTATGAGTTTTTGTTTGTTTTTCTTATTTGTTCATTTGTTGCTTTCAGTTTTATATCTTACACTAGATGCCTAGTGCACGAAATTCATGCCCTTTGGCTGGGGGGGGTGGGAGTACCCTCAGCCCAGCCTTCCCCCTCTCACAGTCTGGTAGCCCTCAGGGGATGTCCTACTGACAGCTTAGGCCCGCTCTCCCTGGAGTGGGGAGCAGGCCTAAACTGCAGTCTGGCCTCCCTTAGCAGGCTGCTCAGGAGAAGGAGAGGCTCCCACCACCACCGCTGTACTGGCAGCCATCAGCCTGGCTTGTGGCTGAGCAGAGCTCCTCCCATGTGAGAGCACCCTGACCACCAGAGGGCAGCTCCTGCATTGAGCGTCTGCCCCCTGCTGGCCAGTGTGTGTCATAGTGACCATTCCTTGTGCGTGGTCTGGGTTGTCTCAATTGCTACTACTGCATCCTACTGTTAGTTGCTGCCATTCAAAGGTCATCCCAGTTCATATCTATCTGTCCTTTTACAATATATGCATTTATTTATTTTTGTTTGTTAATCCTCACCTGAGAATATTTTTTCATTGATTTATAGAGAGCATGGAAGAGAGAGGGAAAGACAGACAGAAACAGCAATACGAGAGAAACACTTTGATTGGTTGCCTCCTGCATGAGTCCTGACCTGGGCCCCAGCCAGGGAGGGGCCTGCAACCTAGGTACATGCCCTTGATCAGAATTGAACCCGCACCCTGCGGTCCACAGGCCGAGGCTCTATCCACTGAGCCAAACTGGCTAGGGCAGGATATGATATTTCTTAGACCCTCCAGCATCAGACCTTCGTTTTTTCCTCCAGGAGTGAAGTAGAAAAACCCTAGATCACCTTCTTGGATTCTTATTACCAAAGTTATCAAGAACACTGAGAGTGGTGTACAGGGAGCTTAGACAATGAGCTGTCA